TCGTCGCCCGCGACTCCCATTGCCCACAACTGAAAAAGCCGTCACCCGTGACTCTTATCGCTCATGAGCACCGTCGCCCGCGACCTGCACCATTACTGTCAGAGCTGTCACCGGCGACCACATTTTTTACTGACCACGTTTTCCCTGAGATCACCACGTCAACCGTGACTACGGTACACCAACCACGTCCGAGTGCGAACATGTGACTATAACCATGTGAACTGCTACCACTAGCGCTGCAACAAAGTCCGCCACGACCATGTTGTTTGTTGCCAGAAAACGTTAACTTTGCCGGAAAACCCTAACTGTGTCCGAAAAATTTTTGAAGTCATTGAAAAAACCCTAAACGCCAAAAAAAATTTGCCGCTCGCTGTGGGGTTATAAAAATTTTTTAATCGGTATCGCTAAGGGGGTTAGCCCTCCTGCCTCGGGGCGTGGATCCCCTACCTCGGGGGAGGTGGATACTCGCCGCTCAGGGGCCGCTTCGGTGCTTCGCCGCTTTGGAGTGCGTCGCTCGGAGGGGAACGTACCGGGAGGGGGGAGGGAAAAATTGACCCACCTTCACCGCTCCGAGAGCTCGCCACTTAGGCGTAGGGGGCCGAACTGGGCAGATAGGGGGGGGAGGGAAAAAAAATAAAAAATGACATGACTTCGCCGCTCGGACGGAAAGGGCAGAATTGTGCAGGGAGCGGGAGGAAGAAAACGAGAGGATTTGAGTCCACACTCCTGTCTCGGAAGGGGGAACCTAAACCCTAAACTCCTTTGCTGTTGCAGGCACTCCGCTTGAGAACCAAAACACCTAGTCTACTCTCGGATGGACTCCCGTGTTCCCACCGACCTCGACTTCTCCTCTACCACGATCTTTCTTCTCGAAGACCTGGACTGCAGAAGCAAATTATTCTTAAGTTTTCTAACCATCCGAGGAATTTCTCCTCTGCTCCTAGTACTGCACAATCAAACCTGAGAGCACTTTGTTAATATGTCAGTCACAACAGATGTCAAAGTATTTAGTTACTCAACCACAAATTGAGAATTAGCAATCTGAAAAAGAAATTGATACTTCTGATGTTGTAAAATCTGTCTACAAAGTTCTGAAAAAAATTCTAGATTCCTAGACTACACAAACTGTCGATTCAGAAAACTATAAATTTACAAACTGTAGACAGGACTCAAAAAATTGACAAAAAAACAAAAAAACTTCTTCTATGAAGAAACTTTCAGAAAGGTAAAACATAGTTTTTTCATTACGTGAACACAACACTTAAATCAAAACCTGGATCCAACTCCAAATCGTAAGCTAGCTCTGATATCAATTCTTAAACGTAAAACCACGGGTCACTCAAGCCAAGCACAAACACAAGAGACACTCATATTATGTGGTTCAACCTCGGGGGCTACGTCCACGGTTGAAGCACACGAGAAGATTTTTTGACAATTGAATACTGAATACTGAAAAAAACTCTCTTCGAGTAGAAACCTTGGGGATATATTTATACCCAAAGCCAACGACATAATAGGTTACTAGTTATAATCTGAAGTTACTACTTAACCGCAATTAACCTCAACAATCTGATGAGAAACAATTTGGAAATTTAAAAATGCATTTTTTAAAAATAATATTACGAATTTACAAGTATTTCAAATGAACGAGTTGAAATAAGAAATATATATATATGTTTCAAAATTATTTTTAAAAAATTCGCTTTATGGATATAAGCTTAGAAGTTAATAATCAATCCAATGAATTTTTTAGTAGAAATTACACATTCATTAACATAAATCACATTGAAATCTTCAACATGATACTGAAATTGATTGAATCTAGATTTTTATTTTCTATTTCCACTTTAAGATTTTGGAATGTATTTTGAATTTTCAAAACAAAACTTAAAATTCATCAAAACATGAAATACATGAATGCCAAAATTTTAAGATTTTGAAATTCTAACGTTTAAAAGTCAAGTTTGAAAAGAAAAAACAAACTTTCTTTCTAGAGTTCTACCTCATTTATCTTTTGCTTTGTGATATTTTACTAAAGATACACTGCATTTTAAACGATTTAGATTATTTGTAAACTTACAAGATGAAGAGTGAGCTCTTGAGAGAGAACATTGGGAATAAGCTGGACATAAGGGGACAGAACTGACTGACTTCTGAAAGACACGAAGCTTCAACTTGCCAAGACCAACCGGGAAAGATATTCTGAGGTTAAAGAATAGTCCAGCCAAGGCAGTACACCAATTTGAAGTGCAAGCATGTTATTATTCATTATTTTAACATTGAAGATCATTGTTCGGAGCATTAGAGCGTTTAATTGCAAAAAGAACCGAAATGAATAAAAAGAACATGTATGTGACATATCCATCTCATCCCTCATGCATCTTCGGCATGTAGTTCTAACTACCCAGTGTTGACAATACCAAAAGGGTCCAGTATCCATGGTAACTATGGAAGAGGTGACGTTCGGTGTATCTTCTCCGTATATCGATCGAAGAGGTGGCAATTTGTGCATCTGCCAAGCACTGTTGGGAGTCCACATATGTGATATTTTGACTTCCAACCCGCTTGGATTGGTGGGAAGAATGAACACGACCGCAAAGTTCAGCTTGATGAACCAGATCAGACCGAGCATCCAATCTAGAACAATACTCCACGTCGGTATGGTGAAAATACGTGTGGACAACAAATTCCAAAACTTTGGCTCTGGATGCAAAATCAAAAGGATTGAATCAAACCGCCTCATCTTAAATGAGTGCTATGCTGTGGGTATTCTAGGGGATGAGACAGAACTAAAGTCAAGTGTGGTCTTGTAGATTCCTCGAATAGTAGATCAGATTCGAAAGGAAGTGGAATAACCTCCTACCTTGAACTCGTCCCATTGGTCAAGTTGGAGTCAAAGGCCTCCAACTTCATGAAACGACAGAAGATCTCAAGCAAAACTATGAACATGCAGAAGCGTGAGAGAAGTGAGAGGGGAGAGTAAGAGACTAGAGGAAGGAAAAGGCTACGTAGACGGATACTAATGGGGTAGTGGAAGGGGTATTTATAGGAGTCTTTAGTTTTTGGGATGAAACACGCAGGAGTGCAGGATGCAGGGAGCGAGGGTTCTAATGACTTAATATTAAAACTGAGGAAGGGCTAAATAGAATTCGGGGTATGATTCCGAAAACTGGGGAATTTTCTAAAAAAATTTGTTGCAGCTCGGAAATTCCCCGAGATGTCAACCATACCATTATCATTCGGGCCGAACGGAGCTCGGCTGTAGAGTTTTGATGGGAAATGGAATTATGGTCCTGGTGTGCCCGCATCTTGGCTAGACAGCGTTCCAGCTGTTTATCAAGTATTGGCATTCGTAACAGACACGAAGATGGTATCTCTCCGGCGGTCGGCTCAGCTCGGATTCTTAAACCTAGGCGGCAAAAAGTTTAGCAGAGGCTAAAAGTCAGGTCAAACTGGGTGTCCCTCGTTCCAGTTAGCAGAGGTAGCTGATTAGCGCCCGTCAGCAGTTATTGGCAAAAACAGGAATCGAATTGAAGACTTTTTTGGGGCAATCATATTTTTTGAGAGTTGGGAGACAGCGAAAGTTAGCCAGTCGTAAGGGAGCCAACTTGCGCTTGGATGCAAAACAAGTCTAAGACCTTTGTGGGGCCATGAGTCGAGAACACAGTCTTGGAATTCGCGAGACAACTGACTTCAGTCCAGTGCTTTTTCGGGGAGAAACAACGGGCGGAAGAAGCAGAGGACGTGAATTTTTCAGTCAAGAGCTTTCTTCGCTTTCGGCTCCGAAGGCAGGCCCAAAAACTAAGGGTAAGTACACCATGCAGGGTCTCGAAAGTATGATTACCGAAGGACATCGGGAAAAAAGGCAAATTTCTTCATGAAAGGGCACAAAACTAACTTTCCTGCATCACGTTTGAATTCATGAGCCCTTAGAACGCTCTGAACGAAACTCCCTGTAAACTCCTACGTGATGCTATTCATGTGATGTGCAAACCGTACTGTCATGATCATGAAGTTCAGCATGCCGTTGAGAGCAGATTCCAATCCTTATTCTTCTTTTCCAACCAAACATATGTATACCCATATCTTCATCTCTGTAACACGCAGTCTGTATAACAGGTAAAAGACCTGCTAAGGTCGTTCACTCATCAAGAAATGTTCTTTCATGAATATGGAGATTGACTAGACATATAATAATAAAAGAAGTATGAAAACCATGATGCATAATCGATAAAGATTACTTGTTTTGCTATATATTTAGCTCTCTCAGCGGTGAACGCAGGCTACATGGGCCTGTGCCAAGAAGATTTAATTGCAGATGGTCTGGAAAACAATGGAAGTAACGCGTGATGAACCGTTCGGGCTTAACACGCAAGGAGACAGAAGAGCACAGCAGCTTCAGCACACCATTGGCTGCAGCAGTCACCTACTTCTATCAGGGACTTGACCCAATCAGGCCCACTTGTTCAGGGGTCATGACAAAACTTTTGAAGAGAAGCCAACGTCGAAGGAACCGTGTAAGATGTTCTAAGGTAGAAGGATGCCTGATAATTTCTTAATAATTTAAAGTGGAAGCAACACTTCAATAAAGAACAATTCAGGAAGAAAATCCATCCGAATTTGAAAACGAACAATTTCGTACATTAGGATGCTTTGAATGAAGAGACTGCCCAACTTGCATTCAAACTTCCATGTGAACGAAGTGGAAAACTCGGGACTCACTTATCTGATAAATCAAATTTCCTTGTGAGGAGATAGTTCAAGAGAAACTGACATCGAGCACTAATTGGTAGATGCAACATGTCGGATAAGAAGCAAACAGCAACTGCGTTTTCTCAAATCTGCTCTATAAAAGAATGCAGTTCAGAATCGAGCGTCAAGCAAGGAGCTAGCCTGCAACCACGATAATTCAAACACGAGGTCGCAAATTGGCAATCCACATGAGAATCAAAACATGATACGAAAGCTCACAAGCTGCTTCCGAGAAATCAGGCCCGACAGAATAATGAACAACAGCTTTTTCATTCTCACAAAGAGAAGAATAAGATATCTCAAGTTCTAATCAATCTATATAAAACAAAACTCCCTTCAAAGACCCGGACCTTGTGATACACAAAATGAACTTGTCAAATATTTCACTTTTTTCTACAGAAGCACAATTCACCTGAGACAAGAGTAAGACCTTGGTTTCTACGAAGTATGAATATAAAATAACGCAGAATGATAAAACGCTACAAAAAACTGTGAATGAAAACACTGCAAAACAACTTTGCTTTATGGGTTAAGCAGGACAAATTCTTTACTCTATAGAACAGGATAACAAAACGGAAGTGGTGGGGCACTATGAGGAATTATCTTGGAACCATCAATATGTGAGCATTCAAAGCTCTTCGGTGAATCCAAACAACTTCCTTGTTTTCAAGGATATATCACATTAGAAAGGATAGATATCAAATCTACTAAACCTTGACAAGACTCGCGTGGCAATGAGCTGCTTGCAAATGGGCGAAAATTAGGAAGGTCTCTTCAAGCTTCGTTCTAGACAAACTGTTATATCTGATTTTATTCTGATAGCTCTTCCTCACTGCAAAAGATGTAAAGGAAACCTCTGCGAGTGCTGAAAACATCATTCAGTACTGAAGCAGAGCTTTCATCAAAAAACATACTTCAAGTCAACTATCCTTTGGTTCCATACCAGGGTTGCAACATGAACTTTCAACGCCCTACTTATTAAACCAGAAAAAGATAAAGAAAGTGCACGCTTGGAAAGAAATGATTCGTCGAGGAAGCGGCCGTGCATGATAGTCCGATTCAAGATGCCTCCAATGTCCATCGAACAAACTTCTGAGTACCTGAAATCTTCAAAGGAAGAAGGCTACAATAATAATCAATAGCAATGGGTTTGATGCAGTAGAAAGTCTTCGGCCACGAGGAGACTAACGCTGATATACACAGGCTATCTTAAAAACTCATGTACTCTGATAAACAGAGTAAAGCGCTGTCATTTCATTATTTCATTATTCTTTGGTTTGGTGATAGGTATAAACTATCGTCTTCAACTATTACCAGACCAAAGAAGACTCCAAAGCCTCTCTTACTTGAACAGATAGAATCAAAGAAAAGTGTAATTAGATTCGGTGACAGATTTCTGCCAAAGTGACCTTGAAAAATAAGCCAGTACCAGTTTAGCCTCCAAGAGGGAAAGAAAGACAAGACGCAACTAAGTCACAAAGCTGTAATGCCGATGTTATGAACCATCGATTATCACCTACCGTCCAATTCGAAAATGGGTTACGAAGTCCGATCCTGCATACGACAGACCATATATGATCGGTTCTGATGATGAAATCAAAGGACCCCTAAATTCTCAAGCGGTCTCTCCTCTCAGTCATGACATACCGGGAATCGGTAAGATTATGTTGAGAAATTCTTAAAGGACGTACCGATGAGAAGACAATAATGCTTGCCAAATCGTCTGCTCGCAAGATCTCTGTTGCGGCACTCGACCATGAGGGACCAATTTCACTTTTTCGTCGATTGCGGACTGCTTATCCTCTTCTTCCGCCACCTCAAAAGGAAGAACCCACGCATCGGACAGTCGATACGTGGGTCGTTCTGCAGACTAGAGTAATAGCCTGAATTCTGCTTCCCCCAATACTAATCGCGTGTGCACTCCAAACGGGGCCAGTCGTTTAAAATTGACACACACATTCGCATAGTTAGAATAACCACAGAACAGATGCGCACCTGATGCCGAATCGAAAGGCCTGTCGAAGTCCTAGAACTACCAGGATCTTTGGCCCATACCTTGCCGAGCCAACACCACCTCGCAACGTCGTCAATTTCAACAAGATGATCAATTGCTCAAACCACCGGCGAACGAAATCTTAGTAAAAGCTGCACCTTCGTAGCTTCCACCTCAGATGGAAATTCGACCCAGTCGCCGAGCCATCAGACTCGTTCCCTGCTCGTCCTCCACCTTTGCAGGCACTGGACGTCACCGCTTAACTTTCCCCGATCCCTTCCTACTTACGGTCTTCTTCTTCAATATAATATTCTAAACTCATGTGTTGTACCCACAGCAGCATGTTTGCGGTGTGGTGCTGCCCTGTTTCCCTGGCCTCGACGCAGCACGAGGAAAAGTGCTGAAGAAAAATGAAAATTGAAGGCGGGAGGAACCTATCTACGGTTCAGTGTACGTTGTGATGAAGAGTCCGGTCATCGTTCAGCTCATCTCTGCTTTCTTGATTTCCCGTCGTTTACTCCACGGAATTCAACTCCGAATCCGCATCGTAGTTATTTCCAAATTTAACACATTCCTCTTAGATTCCGGGGTTTAGAATGTCGCCGACGTGGCTACTCTTCCATTTCATCAGTGCTTGCCTCCCGCATCTACATGCTGACTGATTTGCAATTCTGCTATCAGCCGTCCAGCTCTCTTACCTATTTGTCAGCTCCACTATAAAGAGGCTGTTACCAACAAGTCTGATATGTAACTCCGATGTCTGACACGAGATTTGCTCAAAGAGTTGTAAGTCTTCACAGATTTATTGCGGAGATGTATGTAGTTCTTTTGATGGATTGAATTGTATTTATAATATTTTTAAAATTAGTATTTTCATTACCTTGATATTCGTATATAAGTTGAGATATACATTTATTTATATTTTTTAATTATGACATTTTATATTTTTATCATGAATACAGTCCAGTAGATTGAGAAGGTATGATATGAATGATTGTCAATGATATTTAAAGAATAAGTTGACAAATTAAAATGTCAATAGGGCTACATTATCTCTTTGTACATATTGCTGTTTATCTTAATAAAATAAATAGAATACGATTGGTTATCACTCATGTGGAGCTAATTAGCTCTCACACTAATATAGGGACATGACTCATTGGTTTACTTGGGTTATAGGATCCGCGTGGTGAAAACGGTAAACTCTCGAAGTTTCCCATTTTCTCATCGAAGTCAAAGATGCCATGGTGGCCAGACTCAATGAGAAACCATGACTGTCATCTCCGCGTTGATGTGGCATTCACCACCCGCGAAACAGCCGATTCACCTGTTCATTGCGAGATTTGCCTTCCTTCGAACGAGCTCGCGAAGCGCAATTACTTCGCACCGAGCCTTCTTGTCGTGTCACTGAATTCATGTTGTCCAAGCGCCAACTATGGTAATTTGTTGACAAAATTGAAATGTAGAGTCTACATGTAAACTTTAAATAGGTTCAACTTTCGCGTAAGTGGGTAAAGTACTTGTTGTTTCTCTCTTGGCAAAGAGCATGTGCTTCAATCCTGCGCAAATTTGGTTCACGACCAGCAGCCGGCACCAAGCTCTTGGCTATAAGAAAACCAGGTTTTCATAGGCCTCAGTTGGCCAGCTGGAGACAATTCCATAACCTCTATCACACTACGGGTAGTGCCTTTGGAGTGAAAAGGGAAAAATTTGTCTACTAATTGCAACGCAGCGGTAAGAAGTCCTTGGAGGAGTAACTCAAGAAGGAGCGAAAGTACATGTGGAGTCGATATATTCCGAAAGAACCGGATTTCCAAGCGGAAGTGCCTGGTACTGTAGTTTGGAAAAGTCGATTTCTTTGCCACCTATTATATATCACATTGCCGTTCCCTCCCGTGTGATAAAGGGAGGAGCTGGGGTGCCAATAACAGGCGAGGATTCATTGCCGCTGTCGGTCGTGTGGTTTGGCTCTAAGAGATCATCCATTTGATCGAAAAGCGGCACCTGCCATGCCCCACTCAAATGTGCATGCCAATGTTCAGTCTCATGCAAGGAAGAAATAGACATTTTTGCGTGATAAAATACAAGCACTTGCGGGGTTGTCTTAAAAGTGACTTATTCAAGACAGATATCAATTCAAATTTGATTTGAAGTAGATTTCCTTTCTGTGAGGGCCGTATTAAAAACATCTCATATACACGTGAAGTAATTCTGCTAGGGTAGATTTGCTGAAAATGCTTACTCAGCAGCATTATGAGAGATTGTTTACGGCCTTATTTACGTGCAAAGTGGTTGATCTTGACTATTTAGATTGTTAGTTTAGAAGTCTAAGTTAAAGAAAGGAAGGATTGTACCTGGCGAACTAGATCTACACAAAGGTGATCTCGCAGCATTTCAGGAAGCTCCGAGACCATACCTAACTCGTCCACACCATGCTTTTGTCACCATGTCATCTTTGACCTTCATTTAAAAGATTGAAAAATTGCAAAACTTAACTTTCATCACACTGAACCTATAACCCGAGTGACCCAATGAGTGACGTTCGTATAGTAGAGTGAGAGTTAATTAGCTGCAATTGAGGGATCACTAGTCATCCCCTATAATTGTTTCTTAACTTGTGTATGTTGAGAGTCTCATGTCACAATTGTTTGAAATTTTGATTACAATGAAGAAGATACATCTTAGCTTTAATGGTCACTTGTGAGTTTTACCAAACTTTATTAATTAAGAAATACTTAAGTCTCATCTTTGTATATGAGATTTAAGTATATAAAAAATGTTTAAAAATTGACCCACAAGAAGTTGTTCATAGGCAAGGATATCTCATACATAGAAACACATCAAGATGTGACATTTTGTTTAATAAGTTGGCAAGAATGAGACTGAAATGTAACTGAAATTGTTATGAAATTTGTTTTCTGATTACGATGATGGTGAGGTTTTGTTTGCTTGGAGATGTGCAGGATAATGTGTCAACGAAAAGCCTCACTCACTGACATACGCATATGTCAACCAATGAAATGAGATGCAAAGATAAAGACTACTGAACATCAATACAAGCAAGAAAAATTCCATTTCAATCGGAACTGATAGCATACACGTTGGATTGGATTTTGACAGATAAAAAATTAAAATTGAAATCTAGATAGAAGGAAAGATAAAAAGAGATAAACAAACGATGCTGATTTAAAATATTTCTTTAAACGATAGCCTACACATTGAACCGACTTATTTTGAGCCGGAGTATTTTCTTTAATATTCTTATCCAAGTGGTTATGGAATAATTCGTCCATTCCACTTTGAGCCAATTCAACCCCCGTCCTCACCGAAATCTTTTTCAGAGTAATTTTTTTCTTCCCTCTTGAAATAAAATTTGCAACATCACATCAACAATCAATCATGTATACGAATTCTAGAGTATACATTTTTGTTTTGGAAGTTTGAGCTTTTTGCTCTTCTTTTTTATGCTTCAATTACTTCTCACTTTTTTTTGCAAGCATCTTGTCATACATACTAACCATTATGCTTCATCAAACTATTGTCACTTTTTCTGCATATCATATATATTTATCATCCAACTTTAACTACTTGTTGACATTTTCACATCATGTCACACGCGCATTACATTTTGTTTCGTCAGCATACTGACATTTTATCTCATCATAAAATCAACCTAAAGAACATTGACAATCAATTGTTGGTCATTGATAAAGAGTCATTTAAAGGTACTAATTCCTTCATCAATGCATTATGAAAATACTTGAATGTTTAGTACAGATCTTCTATTCTCACAAATACCATTGTTACGTGGTTTAGATTAAAAGTTGTTAGGTGATAACAACCACTCAAAACTATAGCAATATCAATCAAATTTAAAAAAAATTCTAGGTAACAAACATAGTAATCATGTTTCAGTAATTGCTTTAAAACAAGCATTTACTTATGATCATATTATATTATTTCATGAACGTTATATTTTCTCATCTTAATCATGTTGTATCACAACAATGTATTGTGTTGAAAATTTGTCAAAGTTGATATATATGATAACATATAAATCTATTTCTAAAGTATTGAAGAAATAACTTCCTTATGTAATCCCTACTTGGACAAGTTGGATTATCATCACTCTGTAACTGTTAATAGTAGCCTCAATAATCATCACTTTTTTCAAACTAACTTTTTCTTATCAAGCATAATTACGAAATTACCGTATCGACTAGAATTCATACCAGTAATTCTTTCATACGAGACATCATGACGAGATATAATCTACCTTTGAGTGAGTGATGCATGTAGATGGATGGCTTGTACCGAAAAGTATGGCTATAAGCTAAGGTGTGCTACAAATTCTGGAAAAGAATTCACTTTTTCATAAAGAAAGGGCCAGTAAGTAACCCGACAATGTTCGCGGGAGTTATCTCAGATTTCCGACGAGACTTTTAGACAAAAAAATTAAAAATGTTAGAAATAAATGAATTTTTGTTTGAAACTGCACCTGTTAGGCTGATATGTAACTTAAAGAATCGATCTTCCACGCGATCATGAACATGACGTGAAGAAGTGTCGTGGAGATGAAGGAAGAAAAGCCGAATGGAGCGCTGCTGCGGGGGCAGCATCGTGAGCGCATATCCGTCTCGAGGCAAGGCGAGAGATCGACGGAGTGGTCTGCATGAGTCTGAGGACGTAGCGATCGATTACCGGAAAGCGAGCAAGACAGCTTTACCCCTTCGAGCCAGGAAGAGAGATTCCTCCCTTCCTTCCTTCCTTCCTTCCGACCGACAGTCAAACTAGTTGGATCCCACGGCCAATGGCTGGCTGGCTGGTTGGCTGGCTGCTAGCCCACAATCCCATCCAGGCCCAAACAGGTGCCTCCATTGCATGCTGTGCTGTGAACTGAATCCAAGGTGTTAGTCAGCAGTAGACGCAGTCCACTGGCAAACAGCTGCTTCCCCTTCTCCCTTCCATTCTTCTCTCTCGCTTTATCCACTTCGGTCACAATAGTTTCACCGACAAGACAAGAGTACGTGTACTCACTGACTCACTCATCATCACTACTACTACTACTACTACAGCAGTCGTCGCTAGACGAGCTCAAAAGTAGCTGACAGTCGTTGTGTATATCAGCAGCTGAGACTGCACATTTGTGGGAGAGAGAGCGAACTCATCCGAGCAGCTGGATGAGGAGGTGGGTGTGGCCGCCATTGATTCGTAACGAGGAGGAGTGAGGAGAGGAGCAGAGCCAGAAGGAGCGGAGGAGGAGAATGGAAGGAAGAGGGAGCGGGATGGGGATGCTGGTGTTGGTGCTGGTGCTGGTGCAAGCGGTGGGATTTGCGAGCTGCCAGTCGACTTCGTTTTGCGCCAACACGCTGTCACGATGGACGTGCCCCAAAGATCTGCCGACCTTCGACAAAGTGGACCTGCAGAAGTACGCAGGGCGCTGGTACGAGATCGGCAGCAACGCCTTCTTTAAAAACCTGCAGGAGGCCGGCGGGACGTGCGTGAGCGCAGTGTACACTCTCAAGAGCGACGAGGGCTACGTCGAGGTCTTCAACAGCCAGACTCGAGTCATCGGCGACTTGGGCGTGTCTCTGGTGCGAGCCATCTCCGCGCAGGCCTCGCAAATCTGTCAAGGAGCTCGGCAGATCTGCTCGCAGATCTTCGTGGGCTCTGTCTCGCAAGGTCTCTCCATCGTCCAGGAAGTGGCCACCAACACGAGCCAGAGCAATCCGGCCGACTCTTCTGCTCTGCTCGAGGCCAAAGCTATGATCGAGTCTGCATTGGGGGGAATCGATGCCGGATTGGATTCGCTGGCCAAAAATGTGAGCCAAATGCAGATTTTGAATTCTCAGCTCAGTCAAGCTGACGGCAAAGCTGCCGATAGAGTAGCTCAGCTCTCGGACCTGGCAGCTCAGATTAATGCAGGTGTTGTGGACGCAATCATCCCCGAGAAGCTGGCAGCCATCGCAGCAGCCAGGCAGAACATTACCGCCATTGCTGGCAAATTGTACAATGCTCCAGGCACTAAGCAGCTGGCGCAGCTGCTGTTCCGAGCGGTGACTCTGATCCAGGACCTGGAGGAGAGTGTCCCAGGCCAGGCAGCCACGATCAAAGCCACCGTGAATGGGGCAGTGGATGCAGCTGCCTCCTTCGCTTACGAGAAGTCGGAAAATGTCGGCGGCTTCGTCACCATCCTGGGCAAGGCGTTCCAAAATTCCACCGATGCGGGCAAGCTCTCGGTGGTTTTCGACTCCATTGCTCCGGCGCAGTACTGGATCCTCAAGGTTGAGGATGAGAACAGCGACGATTATGGTGCCGCCATAGTCTATGGCTGCTCGGATCTTCCAACCGGTGGAACTTATCAGCCTTTCTTCATTCTATCCAGAAAGCCCACCCTGGGAGAAGATGTGGGGATTCCTTTCCTGCAGTACGCCGAGTCTCTGGGCATCTATCAGGATTGTCATGAAGTGTTCGCCTTCAGTGAGCAACCTGCAACCTGTCAGTATCCGAGTCCCCCGACTCAGTAGGAACGCACCGACCGATCGCCAATTTTGTTCCCCTTCTCTTCAATAAAAAGGTTCAACGCTTTCTCGACATTCTCAGATACCCTGCCTTCCTCTACATCATCCCAGAGAGTGCTCTTCCGTGCACGTACCTGCCATGTGGCTGCTGCTGCTGCAATTTTGGCCCCGAGCACCGGCACATCATAAATGTATACTGTGAGTCTTTCCCGAAAGCAGTTCAGATCAGATTCAGTTTGCCCGAGGTTTTAAAGATAAAGACTTTCTATTTGCGGGGATAAGGAAAGCTGAATTTATATGTACAGAAGGACTAGGAATGAAAGATGCTGCTGAACTGAAGACAACACAATGAGCGAAAGAACGATCGACAATTCCGTGAGTGCCCTGTACAGTGCGCCGATAGCAACGTAGAAAACTGTCTCCGGAGCAAAGTTTTACACATCTGTGCACTGTTGTGACATCGGTGTCGTATTCCGGAGATGTGATTGGCATTGTGCAGTAAAGCGAGTTGAATTCTTTGAAACGCCAAGTCTCCGAAGTCGCATGCATTTCCTTTAGTCCGTCAAATCCCTTTTAGTCTTTGACCATCTTACTCTGCTTGCATTTTTCCGAGCATGCAGAGACACACGATCCTTAACATCCATCTCTTCATTTCGAGCACGACATTCTAGCGAACCGATATTTAACACACAGTGTGCTGCACTCGCAAGGTTAGAACCGTATTCAATCTGAGAGTTGACGGTGACAATAATTATCATAAGGCGTGGTCATCTCCAAATTGAATGGTCAGCTACGTCATGACTTCAATGCATTGTCTCCGATTAAGTCTGGCGGTTTCGTACTGCAAATCTTTATACCGAGTTGTGACCTGCGTTCATGGCTTTGACCTTATCCGTTACCTGGACTAGTTCCAGACGGTCACGCGTACCGAGGTCTTCGTATCTCTGGTGACTTCCAACTCAGTGGGTCTGGCTCATTCCTGGCGGGTGCCTTTTGAACCACAGCTAATGGAAGAGTTCACCTACGTACGGGGTCATTCCGAGTGCGTTATGTCCTCAGATAACAAATGGTACAACTGATGCACGTTTGAACAGCACATATACGTTGCTACGCAACGAATTTCTTTTGAAACCGTCCTTGTGCACTGAGAAAATTTCGAACACAGAAGGGTTACATAATCATAACTCAAAGTACTGGGATTCTGTAGGCTCTGAAGCCTACAGTTGAAGTATTCTAGTCTTAAATTTGCTTAATGTGTTACAAACTCACAGCCATTATCAGAGAGTGAACTCGATCTCCTCACCTCGGACCAGGTCAGAAAAATGCCCACGGGCTGAAACATATATGCGTAGATTGGATATATTTACTTCTAGTAAGTCCCCACAGATCTGCGGTGCTCAAGGTACTTCCATGTGATGAGTACTGTCAGATTTAACAAGGAGATAAGTTTCAGTAGAATGTTTACGTGTACTTCATGAAAAAAATGAAAATCACCACCGATGAAGTGGCATTCAATACATATACGAACACACACGACGTGTGTGCCCAAGGATTTCTAAAAGGATGAGTTGCGTCGACTCAGATACATGATCTTTTCCGTTTTATTACAATGAGCCTTGAAATTACAAAGCTCGCTATGAATATGAGGAACATTATCTCCAACAACAGGTTCACCTGTCTTTTGCTGCTGACTAACACAGGACCAGCTTTTTAGAGCCAAACAACATGAAAGCCAATCGAGGTCATCTTGCGAATGCTATTTTACAAGGATATCATGACTGAAACAATCGTCTTCGTGCCTTCTCCTCATGAAAGCATTTCCTATTTTGTGGGCAAATTTCAGTCATAATAACCAGAGGGATGCATGACGGACAACCTAGTCCTAAAATAGGGCTCCGCTTACCCAAAAAGTGGAAGGCAGGCAACAAAGAAAGGAGGACAGAAAGAACTAACAGGGCAGAGCAGGCCATCACGAATTGGATATATGGCTCTCATTCGCTAATTCTTCAAGGCTCTTTTGGGCCGGGGTCGGATCGAGTAGCGGAGCCAAGACCTGCTTTACCAGCTTGCTTTGAGTTTCGATCATTTCTGTCACCGACACTCTGGCATTTTTACAGCTCTCTTCATCAGAGAAGGCAAGGGTCCATCTTCCATCCACTAAACGCTTCACACGAGACCCACCTGTTCCAAGCTTCCCTGCATCAGCGGATGGCCAGTGGGGTGAACGTATTCGAAGATGCAACCAACGAGGATGGTCATCATCGACCCTTGGCTGCACAAATCGGAAAATAAAGTTAGTTCATGACATCAAAACATAGCAGGAAACAAGGTCCAGCAATCTTCCTCAGGAGAGAAAGTTAAGAGACCAAGTAGAAGAGTCGCCAGCTATAAATATAATAAGGTGACACCCCGTGACTTCTTCCTAAGTAGTATGTATTCCAACAAGCAGAACCCAAGTTCTGTTCCTGTATATACAAGATATATTCCAACCATTTGGATTTTTACCAGTAGTCGACAGGTTTTACTTGTTTCGGAGTTTACTTCCAGTTGTTTTGCTCTTACTCACTAGTGCGTCCAGCAAAGGCTAGGGGACTGAAAGGTATGACAATTCTGTTCCTGCCACCATTCGCATCAAGACTAAACTGCACTCTGATCTGAGTGCGACAGTCGAGGAACAGGATTCATAAAATGAGAACTGTAAACCTCAAAATACAGCATCAACATGAGTGTAAGAAAATTCATAGGATTGCACCTTGGAACCTGCAAGGGGAGCAATAACCCGAACTATCCCATGACCATTTCTCGAGGGTGTATCCTCAGCAAGTAGCAACCAGCTTGCTGCATCCCTTTCTTTATGCGCCACCAGTAAATACACTGACCGTTCTTTACCCCTCTCGAACGCTACCCGACAAGGCATTGCATTTCCTTCAACTACAGCGCGCGAAGTTAGTCCATACAGAAAATCCAGATAAACGACTAACAGGAGGTGCAAAAAGGTAGCATGCACAGCCTTGACATAAATTGAACTATGTACGCTTGGAAGCAGTCATAATGGATTCTGATATATTTCACACATTGTGCTTATCAGCTCAAAGAGAAACAAGTACTAGGAACAATTTTACATTTTCAACAAACATACTCACATAAGTCAACTTCAGTACCAACACTGACTGTTGAAAGCTTTAATCCTACTCGAATGAGAAGATTTCTGGGCTCCTCTTTAGGATCCGCCAAAACTGGAAACTCTGGCCATGTCCCTTCTGATAGAAGATGCTGCATTTGGTGGAGTGCAACAAAAACCTGCGGAAGGAAGCAATTGCTGCTATTAAAAATCGTTTCAAAAAACGACAGGCTGCTTAACCCATTCAAATCCGACGTACATGTGTGCGCTAATCACAACCAAAAAATGAAATTTAGAAAGTTCCCACCTTAACAGCTGCACGCATTCTCTCTCCTACAACTGACGAAGACACATCACCTGAACACAAAACTGAACAGTTTCATCAATCCGCGCACTCGACGAAACGTGAGAAGTAGAAGGGCCTAAAATCAATCGCTGTTCAAATTTGCAGAAAAAAACCTTTCAAACGAACAATTTTGTTGAGGACTGACTATCCAATAGCACACTATACGATCTAGTAACTTCGACTTGGAAAGCCACGTCCGTCAAAAGTAATAATTCCGTTATCAAAGTTCTTCGCAAGAGGTAGGACTGACCTTCGGCGTGCGAGTCAAGTGTCCTTGGAAGTAACACAAACGAAGAATCTCTCTGAAGAGATGGAGATTCCAAAGCTGCAGGGTAGCAAATGAAACCCCGTCAAACAATCGAACTGTGATCAGAAGGCGTCTTTGGCCCTTCTGTCCATGACTCACCGGGTCCAGCTCATTTCAGCATGCAGCCTACACTGGCTGTACACCACACTCTATATGAACCCGATCGGCTATGGTGTCGTGTACAGATAGATAGCATGGGAAACATAGCGGTCCTTCTTTACAGCAAATTAGGACTATTTGCCCTTCAGACACAAAGACACGATTTTGGAAAACTAAAGTCGCTTATCATAACAGACATATCATTTTGGGTCCAAGCAACGGAGATGAGAAGAAATATAAGCTTACCCTTTCTACAGACTCTCCATTCCTCAGTGACGACAGAAGGAATAACATCGCACCAGCAATCTGTCAGCTCCTTAATGATGTCGTCACGGGCAGCTTTATAGGCACTCTGATGACGGATCAAGGCAATCTTCAGGATGCTGACCAATAAACTTACAGTTTGCAACATAAAGGAAGACTATTTTACTCGCAAGAGGAAAGAATCCTTATAAAACAGCGCCTTAAAGCACAAACGACATTGGAAGAAGGTAGACATGTCAGACGACTACTCCACGTATCAGCAACTCTCCAGAACAAAGAGAAAAAGGAGCAATTCTCTAAACAACTACAAATGAGATTCGCCATCCTGACTTTGAACTTGAATTAAAAGACTCACATCAAGGAGTGTAAGTCGGTAGATGCTTAATTTGTGTTCATGATATGGCAACAATTGTCGAAGTAGCCACCCCGCATGCCAGAGAGCCTCAGCACATGGGGGCGGTCGGCGGCAAAGGAGCTGCATCAATGCATCTAGCACCTGCGTGGATGGGAACGAATCAGTTGAAGACAAAAACATGAAAAAGGTTCTGCATGTAGATGAAGTTCGAGAAAGTACAACGAACAGACGTGTAATGCCTTCATTTCTCTCAGTTCTTCTAATGAGTGTGCCATCTGCTACAGGTCCGAATGGTGATAATATGCGGCAGCGACTCCAGTAGGAATCGCTGATTGGATCCAGCTGACAAATAACATAGATACTTCCACCAGAAATTTTTTAATACTTGACGTCGTCGCAATAGGATGAGCAAACAAAGATTTATATCAACTGTCTGAACTGCTCAAGTATGGTCTCAGTCAGTGACAGGACCTAAGCAATCACTCACAGAAATGCTTAACATACCTCGCTCCTATGTTTTGTTTTTATTCCGGGACCATCCCCACCACCAGCATCAGGACTAGATTTGGGTTGCACATTCTGTCAGCGCAGATAATTCAAAGATTAGACCATTTAATGACCAGAATTTCCAAGCAACCAGCTGATATACGTAAGTAACGGGTCCGAAGGTAAAAGTTTTCGGCTGCCACAAAATATTTACATGGTTTCAAAATAGCAATTTTACATCCTTCTTCATAAAATATTATACTTACGAAGCTTAGGCATGAGAAAGTAGGGAAGTATATGGTTCAAATTTGACGGATAGAAGCTCTTCTTTGAGATCAAATACAGACAGACAGGAAGAGGTAGAAATTTAGCATGAGTCCAACCGAGAAGGACTAACTTCGCACACAAATAGGAACAGCGAGTTGATTACATACATGGTTTTATAAGGGCAATTTTACATCCTTCTTTATAGAACGTTCTACTTATGAAGATAAGGCATAATATAGTAGGAGAGTATGTAATTCAGTTTTGACCGATAGAAGTTCCTCTTTGAATCAAATGAAGACAGACAGAAAAAGGTAAAAACTACAGCATGAGTTCAACTTATAACTAACTTTGCACATAAACAGCAACAGCAAGATGATTGGAAACGTTAGCCAGTTGATAGATTGACGTGATCTATTGAGTACGTTATACTTTTCGGGAAAACTAAAATGAAAAACAGTAACGAAGATCTAAGATACAAGTCAAATTGACAGTTTGTTTTCTTATAGTTTTATATTTCGAATGCTGCGAGGCTGCTGACAAGTTCAACTTCCAGTGTTAACCTGCCTAAAAATTTCAATTTGGATATCAGCAAGGCTCTTTGTACCTGACTAATCAAGGAACTGTGTTTTGCGAAAATAGATCAGAAAGGCACTTTGACCAATGCAGTACATCAACCAATAAGTCTTGATTCAGGAACTCAAAGGAGTGACTCCTTCACTATCTTCATCTATGTCTTCTACTTCCTCCTCTCCTATCACACTGCAAACCATTTTCAACCATAGATCGTGTGACCTTAAGCTCATGGACTAGTGATGTATTATTGCTCCTTACCGCACACCAGCAACTGCATGCACAGTCATTTTTCCTCATATCCTACTAATTATTAAAAACAATCAGTAAGATGACTTCATGATAAAGCACAAGACATCTTCCACATAGATTTCAAAATCCACCAAAATTGCAAACTGACGTCAAGGATACAAGCACCGGCTTCTAGAAGAGGCAAGAAGAATACCACGAAGTCCACAAAGTCGGTAATTTTAAAGTTCCGTATCCCCAGAGAAACTTCATCATCAAAGTGTTCTGGAGGGTCGGAGAACAATTCTGGCTCCTCCTCTGATTGGCTGCCCATCAAAGCTTGCTGTCAAACAACCAGGATGCAACTTGTCGTAAAGACTCCGGACAAAACATCTTCAAAGGGTCAAAGCTAGACAGGAGTTGTGGGCATTTTCCATTCTCAATCCCGCACCAATTTTGAAAACATGATAATCCCCTGGCGCTTTGAAATTCGAAATCAGGGGGGACTACTTTCGAAGCCAAATGGTACTCTAGCCACTTTCCTCACTCCAAGGAACAGAGCCTATCGAATACTTAGAAGGTTCCTTCCGCGTCCAAGCTGGCTGGGTTTTGAGACAATTAGACATAGTACAAGAAGGGGGAGCCATGAGTTGCTAATGAGCTCTGTACACGGGTAGGAGAGAGTTTTCTGAGCAGATTCCAGTCGATATACAGGGGTAAATATGCGTGACAGCAACCACTGTGCGACACTATAAGCAATAAGGCAGTCTTGCTCCCATTGAAACCAACTGAATAGTCGAGTCTAGATTAGTTGATTATGATTGAAAGAAAACACCGCTATCAATTATATTGAAGGCACAAAAATGTTACTACACAAACTCTTTGGTTGCACCCTCACCAGTAGCATATGTTTATGTCGCTTCCGCCTTGGAAGAATTCCTAGAGCATCCAGCAGCATGTCATCCAAAGCTGTGCACAGACTGTACAAAGTCAATAACTTTGCAGAATTGCTGACCGGAATGTGAAGAATTACATTTTGCTGCTAGCTTCCATACTGAAGAGTCACACCTAAGACCTAGAAGAAGATTTAAGTCATTTGAGACCCTTTTAGAAAGACTAGCGACTAAATTTACAGCCACAAAGTCAAGTTCGGGATTAAGCCACTGCTGCTCATGCGTAAGCTAGCCCAACGAGCTTATGTCCATATACATCACTTGTTCATATGCACAGAGCTAGCAGATTCCATTCAACCATTCAACATGATCTCCAGATTACATATTCAGAAAAACTAAAGGTGGTGAGATAATTCAGTTGAAGCCAGAACCAGGTGGTGTAAGTGTGAAAGGAGACTCTACAATTGAGTCCATACAGGCTTTAGGCTGACAAGTTAAGTATCAAGCTAAAACAACGACTGTCGTCCCGATCCTCTTGCTGACGAACTCTAACAAAAAATGCCCATTCTGAGAGGTAGTTCATCAATAAATACTCCATGCAAATATCTTGCCGAGAGACAAGATAGATAGCTCCCTATAGGTTTTTTAGGATCTACAACTACCTTCATTTTGTAAAAGTGAAACGAGCACACAAAGAGACGCCAAGACCAGCTTGTCATCATTATGAAGGAGATGTGAGAGCAGAGATTCTCTGCACAAAAACGAACATACATAAGCCCGGGCAAAAAAATAAGTGTACAAAACAAAAATTATTCGAAGGAAACTCAAGTCATATTTCTAGAGTGGAAAACCGAATGGGCGCATCAAGTACCCAGAACATCTTAGCCTTTCGTGGATCAAAACTTTGTCAAAGAATCCATTCCACATTCTTTAGAGTTATGTAACATTGTATCCCCACGTCTAGCAACCAAACGATACGTTCTAAAATCAGCAAAAACTATGGTATTTGAACCTATAGCATGTGCAGGACTATGTGCCTGCAAAGCAGAACATCGGGTCATTCCGAAGAAAAAATACATGATGAATATGCTTCTCGCCCAGATTACCTAGGACTCTCAATTGGTGACTCGCAGTCATTTAACTGAGATAGCCTACGCTTTTCATTCCACGACTCGCTTTCAGGAGATGCATTCTCTTCCTTCTTCACGTTGTCTTCTGCCCTTAGGCTTCTTGCCTCCTTCAAGGTAGGAGAAGGCCGACTGCTCCCGTCCTCTTGATTGACGATCACAGGAAGATTTGAACTCAAGGTTGAATCTTTACTCGGTCCAACACCATTCTCTTTGGCTACAGTAGGCGCTGGTTGAGGATTTTGAAGAAGACCAGCACTAATGTAATTTACCAGTGGTTTCCGCTTCACTATATGTGTCAACCGAGATAGCAAGTACATAGAGCAGAGTGGGCTGACATGCAAACCCTGCAAAATTGTCTCTCAGGTGAGCATAAAGTCGATGGGTACAGTGTTTGTCCAACAAATCAATAAGAGATAACACACCAGTCACTCCGCCAGCATTGAGAAGACGCTCTAGCGCTTATAGAACTATTGAGGATGATACGGATATGAAAGGCACCCACAACCACAGCAATTCAAATCTTAAAGTCCATCACAAGAACAACTTAAAATGCTCTATTCAAGTTAGAAGACTACCCCGGTAGCGGCGGCAGTATCGACGACAGGGCACAGAGAGGGAATAAGCACTGGTAAAACCAGCAAATTTGCTATATGCTTGCTCATGAGCTCATTCAGCTTTGGGATTCCAGAACACATTATGTCGTTACAGTAGAAGAGCAGGTCCCCAATCTCCGCAATGGCTGCTTCCAATCGGCCAATCGTCGGGGCAGACTGTGGAGCCCTAGTAAATGCAAGCACAATGAACTTCAGTACTTAAAAAATCAAATCCGCAACTGTAGTACGTCTATAAAGACACATACATGTCAATCATATGCAATTGAGACTTCAATTTACTCACTGCCTACACATTTTAAACGTTCAGCAAGAGTATCTTTTGCTAAGTCCTTCCAATCGCATAAGATGGATGTAATTGAATAACTTTACTTTCCCTCGGAAAAAAAAGTAGCACCAGATTTCAGCGAAGAGGGAAAGCAAATCAAGATAAGCACATATGAAGTAGGAAAAATCCTCGCTCTATCGCTGTTCAAAGGGCTATCTGAATATCGAAGGTACCCGTACAACGGCTACTTGGAAAAAGTAGTGCTACGCCCTACGCCAGACAACGAAACTAGTACGCATAAAAAGCTTGTCTAGATAACCTAGGAACTCAGCGTGTTGAAGAGCGAAAATAGAACCCACCTAAGGTGAAGGTTGAGAATGCTACTGCTACGATGTTCAGCTTCATGTCAACCAGAACCATAGAGAATTTCAGATACGAACCTTGCAGCTTCAGCAACTAGACCATCAAGATTGATGCTCTGCTGCCTAAGGAATGTCACAAGATCAGAAAAATAGCTCACAACCGGCGCGCTCATGACGAACTTTTGAATACATTCATCATCCACTGCAACAAACCACGTGGTTGGAACTCAAAACGAGCTGGGATGAAATTCGACTTACACAGTGTGAATTGTTAAGGCCTTCTAAGAGTACAGTGAACTTTGTTCAAAACGCGTCAAGACCGAAGAAAACGAAAGATAAAAAAAGGCTGTTAGTTGGCAAAAAAGAACAGAGAAATATCCACTCTAAGAAGTTGTGTTTAAGGTCCAGGAAGAAGTGAAAGATAGTCCTTTCTCCGTTCAGAACTTGGAAAAGAAACGTTGCATGACGAGGAAACTACATGACACTCACCGTTGTAGACATTGAGAGTGAGAGTCCGAACTGCAATCCGCACCATACTCTCTTCATGATGAAAAAATTTAATGGCTTCACTATACAAAGGGAATGAGATAACCTCGTCCTGCGCACACAGACGACAAGCTCAAGAATGTCAACAGAAAAAGTTTCCTACAGTTTAGCACCAATGTAAATGCTGAACTCCTAGAAGAGCCACCTTGAGCGATGCGATTTTCGATACCTGGTACAAAACAGGTGAATGTACTTCAAAAACCGCAAAGGTAGTACATCAGCTAGCAATGATATGGAACACTTCCACACATTTAACAGGGTTGGAAGGATGAACAAAAATGCTGGCAACAAAATGTGGATAAATCAACAGCACTGCGAAATAGCTCTGGCAAGGTAAATTTTCAATAACCTGGACTTTGCATATGCAATCGTATGGAATTGAAATGAACAACGATTCGACGTACATTTTTGGTCTTGATGAAGAAGGATACAGTGTTCTGGTCAAGTTTGATGCTGATCGTTCTGTAGTGCCACGACAAGCGATAGAAGGGCAGGCATGAATCACTGTTTTGAAGTTATATGATTGCACGAAGACTCCAGGAAGAAAGAAGGCTGACTAACTTTACACTCTAAGCTGATGGTGGTACAAATGAGCAGGACAAAGGAGCACGGCTTGCACTCAAGAGAAGACTATTCGCAAGTAGGCATTGACTTTCGAAGCAAACAAGCAAGTCCGCACTAAATACCTTAAAAAGGATATGTAGTAAGCAAGAGTTTCCTCATGTCGAAAATCAAAAGGATAAGTTATGAGGTTGTTGATGTACTCATTGCTGAATAAATAATCTGCCACAACGTACGAAAAAAATGAAAAAAATCAATTTCTTTCTTCAGTCTTCTCCCAGGTTAATGTACTCCGCAGGTGGACCCGACCGGAAGAGACATTCTTATCATGTCTCATTATATGATCGGCTATACTGTTAGAATTGATCGCCTGTTTCCATCAGGACTTCATCACCGGCTTTTTAACGTACTTTTTTTCTTCACATTTTGTGAGGGAAAAAGTACGAAGCCGAAGACAGTCTCGCTACTTACGATTTACAAGCCAACAAATATACAATTGTAAAAATAAAATAGATACTCTCACACTGAGGAGTATGATTTGACATAAACGACAAGGAAGACAGCCTAAAACCTCAAAACGTTCTTCGAATATTATTTCCTAGAAAGTACTTTAACAAAGGGGCTCGTAATTGACTACAAGAGTAACTTGCTTTCAGGGTAAAAAGTCTTACAGATAGCATGCTCGCTCCGAATATTTCCAATGATGATACTTAGGGTCTGAAGTAATTGCACAGCGACACTGCTATTTTTGTTGCTATCGTTCAGGATTCGTAAAAAGTGTGCCATCACCTGCTTCTCCATAAAGTAACTAGATCACATTTGCGTAACGTTAGAACCTAAAGAGATTTCATTCAATGGTGCACAACCAACAACGATCTTAAATTGTGAACAACACACTTTGGAATCGTGTATGGTGCACCGGAGGAAAGTGTAGAGCTACTCAAAGAGCACTTACTCAAAGAAGGTGGGATCATGTTGATCACCCCAAATCATATGTTCCGCAATAGACCGTAAAGTTTCAATGACGAAGTCCTGCAGTAGAGCCGATAAATAAAAGCTCAGCATATAGTTAACCTTGACAGTTTGATAGTCACTTCCTAAGCGGATAATAAAGCTTTTGACAAGTCACAAGCTGCTCGCACGCTCACTTGTCCCACCTTATTCGAGTCATTAACGACAGTAACCCTCTGCAGCTGTTCGTTGAGATATCTGTTCCATTAAAGAAACAAGGAGGTCACAATCAGGTGCAGGACATACAAAGGAAATAAGTTTACATCGTGAAATTGCACAAAGGCATTGCCTTACTAATCACGTTCGAGGATTTTGTCACAACCAACTCAATGAACAACTTGAATTATCGTCTATTAGGTAGCGATAGAATACGTGCAAGGTGTCTGAAAACAAGAAGAAAAGGTAAAAAACTCGATGTGGTCAGGAAGGAGGGGGAGAATAACAGGTACCCTATACATGAATTGACAATCGAACTCTTGTCACTAAATACGAGGTGCAGCAAACCTGACCTTTCAAACAAGTGTCCGAGACCTTTGACACTGACGATCGCTGCTTATCATTTACATCATTACTGCGAGAATGACGTGCTCATCAAACCGAGGGTAGGAACCAAACATCCAGCCCTAACTGACTTTAAAGGTCTGACCAACACGTACTTCTTCAGGAAAAAATTACAATGCGGAGACATGTACGACACAAGACTGGACACTTTCTTGACAAATCAGTAAGGATAACAAGAGGGAAATTTCTGTAAGTCATACAACTAGTTTCGATCAGCTTGCACACAAGAAGCCAGATTGCAAGTACACAGATAACCTCAGAACCCTAAACTCGAAACATAGACTTTTATGTTTGTGCTACAATTACGAGAAGAAGCTGTGGCCTCAGCAAGTAAGTGTTGAACAATTTTGTAAGCAGTAACATAATAAACATAATAAAAAGGACTTCGAAGTATGCTTCACAGGTGAGAATGTCAATAGAATTTCACTTGTCTCTCACATGCTTGTCATGTGCCATGTGAGATACTTTGCGGGGAAGATGCAGACCATTTCCGAACAAAATTCACAGCAAATCACTTGCCTAATGTCCATTTGCTTTAGGGTGAGAAATCTTGACTGCATGATGACTGACATATTCTCTCCTGCTCACACATTTGGATTGATGCTGCTCAAATACCAAGAAAAATACCAGCTCACACGTTTCGGACAGTAATCTCTTTCACGATTCCCACATTCTTCTCTTTGTACGACAATAAAAAGCCCAGTACATTCTACTTTTGTAACCATTCATCCATTGATCTGATCGCAAACGTAATCTCGCCCATGCGGCCCATTCTTTCTCTGCTTCTGTAATTCAATTGTGTATCAGTTTGTTGACAATTTCGAGCCTTCACTGAGCAGAATTATTCGTGAGGGCTCAACTCGTAGGCTGGGTGGTCTCCAGAGCGCACGAAGTGCGCTGAATTTTCTAGGATCTCAAATTCCACAGACTACATTGGACATGCAGAGTTTCAGGGAAACGATTCGACGTGGTCATGCCTGTATGGTAATCCAGAACAGCCAGACAGATTTCCACCGCTGCAAACCTGACGATGGGAGAGGTCACTCCTTCAGAGGAAAACGAAAAGGTCAACGGGGCCAACTTACTTGAGCTCATCCAAGGAGAATCGCTCCCTAGTTTTCCAGAACCACATGATGAGCCCTGATAATTTCAGGCTATTTTGACGCAATTATATCTCCAAGAGCACATTTCAGAGTAGCTGATTCTCCTTGTTACATGATACAGGAAACAAGCTCCACTCTTCTACTGCCTGGCTCCTGCACCTGCTCCTCCTCCTCCTCATCATGAAGATGAGGAAACGAGGAAAGCCTTCTAACCCCAATATATCCAATCTACCCTACGTCTCCTTCCTCTCTCCACGCCAGCCCGAAATGTACACCGAACCCGTCTCTCTCGCTCGCTCGCTCACTAACTTGATTGATTGATTGTTACATGATAATCAAAGAGCGCCGATCCCTCGCAGCAGACTCGATCGGTTCAAGGACTCCTGCCTGCCCTGCCCTCCCGGCCCTCCTCCTCCTCCTCCACCCTCCTCCCTCCAGCCTCCGGCCTCCTGCTGCTCAGACGACAATATCTGCGGATCTGGCACTCTGTCACCACCATCATCAACTACCGCCTACTCTGTCCTCGTTCATTCCTCATCCCTCCCTCCCTCCCTCCCTCCCTTCCTTCTTTCATTCTTTCATGTCCTCGTTCTCTTCTCGATCGCTTCTTGCTTCCTCTGCACCACCACCACCATCTCTGCGTCTCCTCTACTCCTCCCCCACCCTTCCCTTCCCTTCCCTTTCCCCCCCTCCCCCCTCCCCTCCCTGCCTCCCTCCGGCCCTCCTCCCGTTGCTCCTCTACCTCCTCCGCTCCGCACTCCTTTCCCTTCGTGAACGCCTTTTCTGTCTCGGACTTCGGCGTCCATGCCCCGGCCGCCTGACCCTTTGACCCAACCCAACCCGCCAGTCGCATGAGTTACTACAACTCGACTCTCGGGTCAGCATTCAACCCTCCAGATCCGCACCGGGCCCAGCCAGGCAGTCGACATTTCCCGGAAGTTCAAGACGTACGTCGGCTCCGGTGTACCGACTCCATTGGTCCACGACAGAAACAGGTCCTTAGCCTTGCCAATGCGTAATTCAGACGTCATGCTTAACTGCGCAAGCTTTAGGTGGCTAATTTTCCGTGACACACCTCGAAAGGCACTTCCTTAGTGCACGGTCGGAGTTGACACTGGTATAATTTTCTCGGCGAACCCCTCGAACGGCGAGCGTCGTCGACTCTCTCCCCGCGGAAGGCCTGCGGTCAAGCTTTCGTCCGACTCTCTCCCCGCGGAAGGCCTGCGGTCAAGCTTTCGTCCGACTCTCTCCCCGCGGAAGGCCTGCGGTCAAGCTTTCGTCCGCCGCTGTTGGAACCGGCTCGAATATTGCGCACTCTCGAGAGCGAGAGCCCTGATCGGGGTTCGTCCAATGCGTTGGTACATATTTATTATATATTATTATATTTCTGCCTGTCGTTGCCATGCATTCGCAAAGCCGACCGTCGTTTTCGGGGTTCAGCAAGAGACTGTCGGCTACTGATGGATTGTCTTTACTCCATTATTAGTTCATCTCAAGGCGCACCATATTTCTGGCGTAGGATAACAAATTGGCCCATGTAATTTATTTCCGATGGTGATGTCCATGCTGAAACATTTTTCAAGTGCCTAGCCCCGCGATGAATTTTCTTGCGCAGCGGCTCGTATTGGGTAGTGAAATATTATCGGGTAGTCTCCGCCCGGAGTGAAACCGGCGAGCCAGCCGGATGCACCAGCTCGCCTACAGTTTGGTTGACCGGGAAACGTGTCCGCATCACCGTATGCCACGTGTGGTATCGTTTTGGGAATTCTTTGGCGTCTTGAGGATCTCGCCGAAATCCAAAGGGTCTGCAGGGGAGTTTGCCTGGAGCCGTAGGTCGGACGTGGGAGCCGACAGGATGCACGAAAGGAACGAAAGGAACCTCAGAGAGCCCGCTCTTTTCGCCTCCATCGACTTCGGCTTTTCGTTCATTTCGGGCTGCGGCTCTCTCTCGAGTCTCGAGTTTCGTATCCTGGCCACCGTCTGCGCCCTCAAATCGACCGGTCGACATCTGCTCCCCCGCGCTCGGCGCGTCAGCGTCGAACGTTCTTCTTTCGCGGGCTGACAGTCTGACGGGAAGATTCGCCCGGCCAACTGAATCTTGAGCTCGAGGCGGCAGAGCTGGGCGCCCGCTCGTTTTCGCCCGGGCCCGATCTTTCTGGGCCGGACTGTCAGCGATGGGAGGGAGGAGACAGAGAACGAAGGGCTCGCGGATCTCGGCGTCAATTGGCCTCGAGAGACGAGCACCGAGCGACTGAAAAGCGGCAGCGTCCTAGATCGCTCGCATTCGACTAGAATTGGATCCATGGCGACCGAGGGATCGCTGCAGGGATTCGAGTCCGTGCACAGGTTGCTTTCAGAGACCTTGCCTCCGCAGCTCTTTCAGGTACTATTCAGGACGAGACATGAGAGAGAAGAATTGAAATCCTAGTTAGATTCTCTGGGAGTCGTAGAACGATGCAATTTAGCTGAACGGCGTAGAATGGGATTGAACTGGATGCGCGTGCTGGAGGTGTTTCGTAGGATGAGGATTCCCGAGCAAGGAGACGAAGAGCTCTCGATGCCGCTAGAATTGGGCTTTGTATACTCCTGATGCTTTCGGAGGGATTATAATTGTACGACTACGGCAGCTCAGTTATTTGAAAGTTTGTTGTCTTGTTGAACAGTGTTCTCAGGACGCAGCTTCTCAGGTCCGAGTCGTCACGTCTAGGCTGTAGATGATTTTGTGATGCATGGTCGATTTCTTAGAAATCACACATCTTCCAGAATGGTTAATCTTTCTGGCGTCAACATTTGATGCCAGAAAGCCGAACAAGGTCGACAATTTGGTACAATTTCGTTCGATTCTAGTTCCTAGAATCACACGTTTTCTTGCATCCTGAACGATACCGTACAGCAGTTTTCGGTAAGGTACATGTCAGAGACAAAAGTAAGCATTGCGTGGTATCGGAACTCAGGATTCCGAGTCAATGTGTTCGACGTCAAGAGAGTGTTATCAGTTTACGCTATCGCATAGAGTCGACTGCAGTCGTGATGGTAATTCCGACGCGCTTCGACGTTGTTCAAGCTTACTGGAAGGAAAAGTTTAAGCGCCGAGTTGTTTTCGTCTCCACGTTGTGGAATTGAGGTTTCTGAAGAGGTATTGAACTCGCAGGAAGTACAGCGAGTTCTGCTTGGTTGCAACGGGGGGAAACCTGTTCAAACGCTCTCTCTGCCTGCTATCGTTACGGAAAGTGCCCAGTCTCAGAACTTCGACGTTTTGGTAAGGCTCTATGTGTACCTTGAACTTCCTTTCTTCTCTCAAGAATTGGATCCTAGATTGTCAGTCTACATTGTATCACAAGTCTGTTCCATTACTCTGCATGAGTCTGCATAACCTTCCCCGTTAATGATGCTTAAATCTGGAGAGCTTATCATAAATTTCATCGTCCAGAGTGTGAGAACACATCCGATCAGAAATATCCTGATTTGGATGGTTTACAACTCCGATGTAAGAAGATAGTGATCTTCTCATGCCAAAGTTGGTTCGTCTAATCAATTGTGTGTGCGCAATTTGCTTCGCACGATAAGGCATATAGCTTCTCAGCTGCAGAGGAGCAGCTGCGGAAACCGAGGGTTGTTCGCATTGGCTTGATTCAAAATGCCACCGTGCTACCCACAACCGACCCATATGAACGGCAAATGAACTCGATTAGAGAGAGACTGCGGACAATCATAGAGGCGGCAGGAAAAGCCGGAGTCAACGTTCTCTGTTTGCAGGTACGCTCCTAATCTTGCTGAAGTCGTCTATGAAAGGTTCATAACTTCGTCTCCACAACCACCACAACTGGCTCTCATTGTCTGCGCTGGAAGGACTGAGTAATTGTTTCCAGAGCCCTCGCTTTGACAGCTCAGGAAGTGACCAATACTATCGTCAAACAATTACAGACTGTACCCTCTCAGTCGGAGAGTTTTGTTATATCATAGATCTGATTCGGTGACTTGTGCACGATATATGCGTCGAAGTGATGCTTTTTGTTCTGAAGAAAGAACAGATGGGGAGCATTGTGGCCTTCCGGTGAACAGACATACACTTTGGATAGAAAAACTGACCATTGTCTTAATTCAGATTACCAAGGACGGAAATTGATGGTCGTTGGACTCATGAAGTGAGGCACCTTCAAAGCGCTTAAGAATTGGGAGTATATATAGTGGGCTATGCGAGGACTAAAAAAACATCTCCTGCACTCGATATGATTCAGTTCAAACTCGTGACACAATTTAATTGATCACCGATTCTTAGTGTGACGGTCGAGATGTTTAGGACTGGAGTTTCTCTTACCTTGTAGATGTTTACAGTGCTAACCCAAGCAGCGCTGATGGAAGTAGAGAGTAATGAGTTTCACTGGGATCTCTGTCACCAGGAGGCTTGGACAATGCCGTTCGCTTTTTGCACTCGGGAGAAAAGCTGGTGTGAATTTGCGGAAAGTGCAGAACGTGGAAAATCAACACAATTCATTCAGGAATTAGCCCGTAAATACAACATGGTCATAGTGAGCCCTATACTGGAAAGGGATGAAGCGCATGGTGATACACTGTGGAACACTGCTGTAATTATTGGAAATCATGGGAATATCATCGGCAAGCATCGCAAGGTGGTTCCACTTACCCAAGCCTCGGAAGATCTTGTTATGCCAAATGAGAATATTGAACTTCGGTTAAGAGCGGACATAGAGATCCATAAACGTCTGGGCCTGAACTGTGTAAAGCTTTGGTGTTTGTGTGTTGTTTCTCCTTATGTTTTACCCGAAACCTCGAATCTTCTCGTAGAGATTTACAATTCGCCTGTTACGGAGGACTCGGACAGAAACTACTGCAAAGAGTCGAGCTCTACGTTGTGTTCTTTGATATCTTGGTCAAAACATTTTCCACTAAGTGTTAATGACCATGACTCACACTACCCACACATCTTCTTGGTCGTAGATTTACTTGTTGCTTCTAGTTTTCCATTTTCCATAAGCTTCCCAATTGCACTTCCAAGAGATACTACTTCAAAATAGTGCGATTTTATAGTAAGTATCTACTGTGATACTTCGTCGATGTCTCTTTCTGTGGCCTGTCTTTCTTTAAGCGTACGGAACTATAATGTCCTGTCTGTAGCAAAATTTCTAATTGGCCGCGCATATAATAATCCGGCTTCTCGACTGTTGTATAGAACCATATTCCCCGAGTGGGAGATTTCAACGAGAGCTCCTACTACATGGAGGGAAACACAGGTCACCCTGTTTTTGAGACGGAATTTGGGAAAATTGCCGTCAACATCTGCTATGGCAGACATCATACCTTGAATTGGCAGGCGTTTGGCATGAATGGAGCGGAGATTGTCTTTAATCCATCAGCCACCGTCGGAGATTTGAGCGAGCCCATGTGGCCGATTGAGGTGCGCTTGAAGCTCTACCCAACTACAGACGAATGCTTTGGCTGAATCTTCTGCGGCAATTAGTACAACAGATCAAAATTGCGATGCTTCATTGTATGGATTTAGGTTTAAGTTTATGTCGCCGGTGCATGGTTATCTTCCTCTGTTGATCATATGGAATTGCTTGCATGCGCAGGCTCGAAATGCAGCCATAGCCAACACCTACTTCGTTGGAGCGATCAACAGGGTGGGCACAGAATCGTTTCCCAATGCTTTCACTTCAGGAGATGGCAAGCCAGAGCACAAAGACTTCGGTCATTTCTACGGGTCCAGCTACGTCGCCGGTCCAGATGCGTCGTGCACTCCTAGCCTGTCTCGTTGTAGAGATGGTCTCATGGTTGCCGATTGCGATTTGAACCTGTGCCAACAAGTGAAGGATAAGTGGGGATTCAGACTAACTGCACGATACGAACTTTATGCCAAATTCTTTAACGAGTACATTAAGCCTGACTTCAAGCCTCAAGTCGTCAGAGATGCTTTTCTTGACTCACCGAAAGAGAACGGTGTGTATTAGCAGTCGCAGAATATTGCACTCCGTCGTTACAAATCGTGGACCTTCTTTGGAATGATGATTAATATCACGCAGCGAATGTTACACGGATGGAAGCCAGGCTTGTAGGGAAAGCATAGAAAATTTGCAAGTTTAGTGAGTGTAGTTGTAATCTTTCGCCTACAGGTGGGTGTGTCAGCACTTTCAGGGCTAGACATGTCAGTTTCAAATGTAGGCTTATATGGTACGTGGATGTTGACAAGATATACCATTGTATCTATTGTAATTGTGGGTGGACGGGATAACTTGTACAGAATTTGGACTCTACCAACTTCGCTCTGGCCCACGCTCCACATGGTCTTCGGTTTTCCAGCATGACCCTGGGATACTAAGAATATTTGTTGTCTCGGTAGGATTCTGATTGTTGGCTCTTCTTTTCCAGGGTTCCAATTCAAAAACAAAATCAGATAAAAATTACAACCTGGGTCTCTTATAACCTTTGGGAGACCTAGTGGTGTCTGAACTTTCTGGCATCTCCGTGCTGTGGGTGTGTTGTGAGTCGTGACTACTGGGAGAACTTTCTGGGCTCCGAGGATGAGTTCGACCGATGTATATACTTTGATTGGGCGGGGAAGACGGAGGAATATCAAGGGCTGGAAGCGGCTGAGATTGTCTCAATGATTCAGAAAAAACAGGGAAGGTAAGCACTAGTGGGCTTCCGAGCGGACTCTGAGAACCTGGACCCAACGATGAGTACGGCGGGCTTTCTGAGCTATGCAAATCGAAAGTTTCGTTAATTGTTTCGCCAGCATAGGAGCTCCGTCCTGTCAGAGAATTTTGTCCAATTCGAACCTCCGCAGTTTGAGTTCCGGGAGATGAAGGGCCCGGTGAATCTTGAGGAGTGAGCTCAGCTGAACGAGTCGACTGAGATCTCTGCGGACATCTTTTGTTAGGATCCAAAAAGAGATTCTGCCGAACTCTGCCATAATTCGCCAAGACAGTTTCCGCGTAATCGGCTCCCAACAAAATGAGGTTCTTTGTTCCCTGCACAACATCAGGAAAGTAAAGTCGTAATAACTATCTTGGCTGAAATAAGCATTGACCATCGATGACTCGCTTCCTATTTACTGCGTCACCCTACGGAAAGAGGACGCCGAGTTCTGTCAACTTAAGGAAGTTTTGTACCCAAAGATCTTTCATGATTTCTTTCCGTTTGGAACAGTCCAGATGGTCAGGCTTCAATCGACGGAATAGCGGAGAGGCTTACTCTCATAAAGTCGAACTCGTCATTCAGAAGAGAAACTCGCAGTTTTTGCAACACTGTGGAAGCCAGAGGCTCTCTTGCAAGTGTTAATGGATGAGAATATTGGTTTCGATCTCTTTTCAGAGGCAAAAACTCTTGAAACGAAGTTCGTACTTCCTTCAAACACCGATCGAGTGCATCGCAGGTCAGTAGCGAATCCTCACAACTCAAATGTATTTTTCTTCAGAGCTAAGGGCCAAATGATAGATCAAGCTGGAATGTATAACACGTACGGAAGGGCACTGGAAGCCATTCATTTTCGCGTGTTGCATAAGGTGTGTCTCTCCTGCTATCAATAAGTCCTCCACATTCTTAAACCTCTCTCGGTCCAAGGACTCGAAATTTCCCAACGTATAGTTCTTCAGGACTGTGTAGTAGTCGGCCTGCTTGTGCGTTCTGAATAACGTACCGGATCACACAATTAATTCTCATTTATAAAATTTGAGGTACGCAGTTTAGTGCCACAGCGGCAATTTTATGCGAAAGGTACCAGTACTTTTATAATGGTGGCAGTTGGCCGTTCTTGGAGAGCTTCTTAAGAAGTTTGAATTGTCTTTGACTTACCTGAAATCACACTGTTTTGTGACGATTGCTTTTCTATCCTCAACACTCCAGGACTTGAAGAGAACCTGCATGCCCTGATTAGCGATTGCCAAGAGCCCGTCGTATATTTCCACCGAGACCAGTAAAGCTTGTTGGCTCTGACAATCAACAACCAACCTCCAATTCTCATCAGTTGAATTTTGAACTCGCTTACAAAACTGGACTTACTCTTGGCACGCAGCGAACTCTTTGTAAGTAATGAGCATATACGCTGGTACTGAGGATCTAACCTTCGCAAGCTCCCACACAGGTTGAAAGCTCTCTTGCATCCCCTTCAGCGTATCGCTGAGGACAGCAACTTGTTGGTAGTACATTTGGGCCCAGGATCCTTCAGCGGCTATTTCCGGTGGCAATGATGCTCCTGACAGAAGAGACATGAAAATTCGGACATATGTACCGAGAGTTTTCTCCATTCGTTTCGCAGTATAGAGCTTTTAAAGCCGACAGAGAAACAAAAGCGGGAAGCTGCAGCTCATAGAGGAAGGTAAAGCCTTCCGACCCCTGGCGAGGCATATGGGCTGGAACCACTTTATAGCGCCGTGGAGACTCAAACCACGGACTCTCAAAAGGGGTCTTGTGGAAGTACGTGAAAGACGGCCAACCAAAACTCTGTTGAACGTTCAAGTGGACTTCTCAGCGGGCACAGTGCATGGTGCCTCGAAGGAACATGGAACGTGTGTATGAATGAAAGTTCCTGGGACAAAACACTAGGTCATCTTGTCATTTCCGGGCCAGATGAACCCAGCAGCAGAGCCTGAAAAAGAATAGGATAAGAGGTTGACAAAGGAGGAGGAGGAGGAGGAGGAGGAGTAACTGCAGTCGGGAGGAAAGGGTCAGAGAGTTGAGAATTCATTCGCGAAGGAGGTCAGAGTAGAAACAAATCAGGGAGCATATCAAAACAGTAGAGTAGCCTCGAGGCTGGGAACTGTATCTCATGGACACGAGCGAGAGTCTATCTTCATCGGATGACATGAAGAAAAAGGAGGCTGAGTGTATTCGAGATCTAACAAATTTCAGGGGAGCGAGCCCAGTGAGTTCATCACGGGTTATGTTCCTTCAGGACCCATGAAGCCCATGATTGGAGCACATGTCTACCACTACCGACTTTCTTACGGATCGGAGGAGTGTGTGTCACAGGAGGTGAGCATTCGATTACCTCGTTTGTTGCTACAGAGATACTGCTCCCCGCTAGTATCTCCGTCCAGGACGGCTATCATCACTGGAGTCCTGTCCCTATTGGCAATCGACAGGACTTCTTCCTGGGTCAGAGTCTCAATAGGAGACATTGGCCACATCTTAGTTTTCATTCTCCTCGCCGGCAAGTCCGACATGGACGTTATGTCATGGGCCGAGCAACTCGGAGGGGAAATACAGGCCTGCGCTTCTTCGGGGTCCTGCAATGTCTCGCCTTCGCCGGACCTCCCAGGAGACCCCATCTGGCCAATTCGCTGCTGATGCGAGAGCCCTTCGTTTCTCCTGTCCCTCCGTCGATCTTATACAACGACGAGAGAAATCGCTCGAAGTTTGCAACAACGTCGAAATTCGAGCGACCCCCGAGGACAAACGAACGAAGAAACGAACGCAAAACGCGTGATTCGAACTCCGCGATAGGCAGAAGAGCTGCAATTCTTAAACGACGGGCGCTCGTTGACGGTGGGCGGAATTTCTCCTCTTACTCACTCGTCCTCCGGAGCTCCCTCGAACCCTTGCTCGAGGCTGTGATTATTTCGGTGCAAGTGCGTGCCGCTCGCCCCCACAGGATTACATCAAACGAATAAATGTGCGCTGTTTACTCGTGGTGATCATGATTCCTCGCAGCGCCAGCGGCAGCTGTACAGCTTAAGGAAAGCGCGAGCACTCGAGTTCTCGATCAGATGGCCACAGATTCTCGTCATAACCTGGTCCTCGACGACCATTATTGCCAGCGTTCATCCATCCCCCCCCCCATCACCGTTACCGTCCGCTGTCCTGGCTCCACTCCACTGCCACTCGACGACTGTGCGCGACGATTTATATCGTTCGTCGTGTCATGGATGGATGGATGGGGATGGGGCGAGGACGTTACGTCCTTCTCGTGTCCGTCCGTTTCCCCATTTTAACGACGTCCGTAACTGGCTCCGGCTCTGGCTCCGGCTCCGGCGCTGGCGCTTCTAGAGTCAGGGCACGAGGACTCGGTCATCCCGGCGAGGTCGGTGACCTGGCATAGTAGGTCGCTTTCAAATGTGCGCCAGGAGATCCGGAGAAACCAGGACGGACTCGAGAAGAGACTGAGGTCCGTCCGTCCGTCCGTCCGTCCAGCCATCCATCCATCCATCCGCAGACGACTGACTAGTCTCGCCATTTTGTGGTGACGTGGACAGCGCTACGCTTAATGTGTGAACGTGGAGGTATGACGAGGCTTGGTTCCTTCTCTTGTAAACCTTTCTCGGCTGTGCCTCGTTCCGTCCTTTCCTCTTTCGGTGTTTCTCGTCTGCCCTTTCCGAGGGAGGCGACGAGAGCATTGCGCTTCGCCTTCTTTTCGCCTGCCTATGTACTGTACATAAGCAGATTCCCATTTGTTTCTTCCCGAATCTTCTAAGTTGTGAGCAAGCTCTAGAGTGGAATCCATATGCGGCAGCTCTTGCCACCAGAAACGAGTGCTCTTGGTTTTGGTAAGTGTTGCATGATTTCATCATTTTGTAGCATATGCTCACAAACTAATACAAACTATTACTGTCATAGCTCCCTTATCAGATTCACTGCTTATGAATTCACACTATTAATGTTTCTATTCTTTCCTACAATGACTATTTAAATTTTAGGAATTTCTCATCAGGATACTATTCAGGCCTAGTCCTGGATCGGGTTTGTAATCTTTTCTTTCTCGTAGGGCTTGATAGTATTTCCCTTCGGTTTTTCTAGACACTTGGTACCCTTTTCTCCAATTTCTGAAGTTTCTATTTCTATTTCTAAATTTTGAACCATTCTCGGGATTGCACATTGCACATGGTTTAACGAGTGTAACTCAAGTCCTCCTTTTCTTGTACGTATAGAACTCATAATCATAAGATAAACTGACGTCAACGATATGTGTGACGAAAACCAATGTACTATAGTTTTAGACCCCTGCCAACAAGATTGCAAACAAACTGTATTGGTTGTGCTACTCTCGACAGGATGGTAGAGAGTATAGTTCAATCAATCAACATATAGATTAAATCAGCGGACTTCGTCGACAGCAGGGGTCGAATCCGAACAATTTAATGCCAGAATAGTAGCTTGCTAAAAGGAGGAAGTGTGGTGGGGGCATCTGAGAACCATGTCATCATCGAATTCTACATTCCCTAGCGAACTATCCCCGATGTTGCAAGTTACTTAAATATCTTGGCTACAAACAAGAGCATCTGCATGCTTATCACGGTGAAACTTATTTCTTGCCAAGGTGTTGAGCGTAGTGCTTCATAACGTCAGAAAATGTGTGCATGCAGTAGTACTACTGATTATGGATTATGTTGTGAGAGAGAACTTTCTAGATGGACCTAACTGCCCTTTTATATACGTGTTGTACTTTGAGAAGTACCTATCACTGCGCCTACTGGACCACTTCTTCATATACCTCAGTATGCTTTATGAGTTCTTTATGACGATTTAGGAAGACTTCTTCAAATCGAAGGAATAAGAATGTCCATCCAGCCTTGATAGAAAATTGTTTTTAGAAAGTAGAGGGAGATAACACCGAGAAAGAAACAATGCGCTCGGGGTTGTTCTTACAACTGCCACCAGAATCAGGGTTAGGAAAAGTGACATGCAAAAGTTTGTCTCGAGCCTTTTACAATCGAAGAATTTTGGTGCCTTGCCTTTATTCATTATGACTAAGAATGGCAAGAAGATTTTAGAAATAAGTATGTTCCAGACATATTTAAACTAGTGTCCACACCAGATAAGATTAATTTCATATAATTCATTGGATTGTACTGAAGTCATTACAATCATCAAATGATTTCACTTCAAAATCTTGATATAATTTTTTTTATTGAATATATATATATAAAAAAAAATTTACAAAACTAATCTACATATCATTTTCATAATATGGAAAAACTCAACAGAAAGGATCGAAAACTTTAGTCACAAGTATTTATGTTGATGATGCTCGCAGATTAATCATTGAAAGATAAGATTATTGAAGAAGTTCTTAGAGAAACATTCCTGTCAACGAACCTACAAATCCTTAGATGGAAACAGAATGAACTTCAGTGAGCAGAATATATGCAAGCCTTATGGATCAAAGAATACAAACTGAAACATGTTCATATGCACTATTACGTAATTTGTTTTAAGTAAGTACTGTACTCATTCGTGAAACTAATAGCTTGAATGTATAAATATGGAAATGGTGAACAAGAAGAGATACTGTGGATAGCAATGGGGAACCGGAGAACTCCGGCCAGCCTGTTCTAACCGGCTTAGCCGGTGCCCAGAACGTTGCCGACGAACTGTGGACCGGGAACTCGACACATGGAGACAATGCAAAACAGTTGCCATGTTAGCGGCACGGGCATTCGCAGAACAGGAGCTTGGGAGGTGGGCGGGCAGGCCGTACAGACGCAGGGGTCAGTCGAGTTGCTGCCCTGGAGGTGCCAGGCGCACCTACCCAAATTTGCAGGGCTGCCCGTCCTGAAAAGCTTACAGTATTTACTTTTACTCTGTAGAGTAAAAGGTGAAGACGAGCATTGAAGATCCTTGAGAGCATCATCTGATAATGACTCTGTTGCAGTCAGACTTCCCTCGTACCGTATTCCTCGAGAATTTCTTATCTGAAAGTTGATGGTGATATTACTGTTATCATTTAACTGAAAAGGCTGTACAAATTATTTCGCAGATAAAAGCATTGTACTGTGATCGACATCATTACTAGTTTCCCATACTTTTCTCTCAATTTGAGGTACCCAGATCTGAATGCGTTCAAGTGTAGTCATGCGATCGAAATACAAGTATATAATATTATTGGTCGGTAAGTGTCTTACTGCGACCCGTATTTGAAGTTTCTTATCATCACAACATTCTAGAATATATAATATTTTTTGATCGAAGCAAAGAAAGTTCTGATTGGCGGGGCTTCTTACGAACCTCATGTCTTCACTTGATATTTAGAATAGGACTCGCCACTTCGTATGATTTGCATGCAAGAGATACATGCAAATTTAGATTAACTCTTTCAAATTCTTGGAACTGAGCCCAATCTGGGACATGAAGGGGAAATATGTAACTGCATTTAACTGAAATTTGAGAACTCTATTTGTACATACTGTTCCATCATGATCAAACTGTTTCCCAGCGTAAAAACAAAAACATAGGAACACAGTTGTAGCTCATATACTTTTTCTGTTGAGTCTATCAGGGACCACCCACCTCCTGCAAATGTTTTTGTTTCCATCCCACCAAGAGCTTTAAATCACTTGCAAAAACAAAGGAAAGAAAAGGAAGCATCAAATGGTAGTGTATGAGATGTACTGCAGCAGCACACACTCTAGACTTCAATGACAAAGGAGAGACGGAAGGGAAAAGGGAGTGAAACACAAATCAAACGAAATGATGGTGTGTGAAAAAAGTAGAATTTCCAAGGAACACTTTCGTCATCTGAACCCAAAAGTCAACAACGAAGCTTGGAACAGTAACGCGCACCGAGCCGTCTAACAGAAAGATAATTCTCCTCTTATTAAGTTAGATATTATGGGATATGCATTCGTATATATCCAGTCCAAGGATTTCCGCAATCGGGCCTTGCACGAATTTATGCAAGGCCAGGTAATGACTTTATGCCTCTTGTCCTCATGCATATAACGTTTCCACTTTGCATGCGAAGCAAAGGTGATTGATTTCTGAGGTTTTTAATGTCCCAAAAAGATCTGATTCTTTATCCCACCACATATAACTCAATCCCCTCGGAAACCATTGACAGTAGTTTGTTCAGAGCAGTTACTGTTCTAACTGTAGTTACTGTACTCTTAAGGATAAGAATGTGTCCTTCACTATCCGTCCTCTAATTGTTAGGAAGCATCGTGCCCAATTTCGATCCTGAACCTGTAAGTCGGATATTATCACGTGATGTGATTTCGAACTTTGGGCCATATTTCTGATTCTTTATTTGTTCTAATTTATCCAACCTTTTTGTTTCTAAAGTCTCTGACTGACGTCCAGTTCGCTCGCTTGCTTGCTATCATGTACTAATCCGCTGCCTTTGGGTTTTCAACCCTTGCTTTCCATTTTCTCGTAGAATGATGCGATCCGAGTCACGTCTACGCGTTTGGATTTTTAGACCGTCTTTTAAAAGATTCTGCAAAATGCTAGCCGAAGGTTCTCAGTAAACTCCTCGCACATCATAAGATCTATTATCAACTCCAGATCACTCAAGCTTGAACAAGCTTGCAATGTCAAACTGCAACAGCAGGTGGAAGAAAAGCACTTGGAGAAAGTGTCAACCCCCGCTCAATGAGCTGTTTTTCCATGGCACTTACATAACCAGTCACTGGGCAACTATTTTCACTTCTCAACTGTACTGGGGACTATCTTTCTTCACGTGTATTCTAAGCATCGAGACCAAAAGTCCATGCTCAACTGAATAGTCTTCCCTCGTTTACTCTTTCTGACACTTCTGTATCATAATGGTATGTGTTGGAGTTGAAATAAAGGGCTGTTTTTTATGACGCATTGAATAAAAAATCCTGTGTAGTCAATATCGTTTTTTATTATTTTGTATAACTAGTTTTTAAAAGGGATTTTGTTATTTCCCCTCTCATGATATCGGGTGGCATTGGATCAAGAACGGATTTAAAGTTCTTAAATAGCGTGCCTAATTCTTTTGTATCGAGTCTTCACTTGAAAGAGGTGCAAAGATTCTGAAGGATGCTTTTGTTCTCTCTTAGACCGTATTGTCTGTGTTCTTTTGCGGAGTCAATCTTGATAATGTATGGATTGCACTTGCTCAAAAATTGCTTCA